TGCTATGCTAAGCTAGACTAGGCTAGCTATTCCTTACTACCAGAAATAAAACCGTGTAAAAGTGTGCAGTAAAAAACTGCTTCTGGACAGTTAGAGTTATTTAGATACAGAGATATCACAGAAAACACAGATTTGATTCAGACAGAGATCGCCTGAACAACTACGCAGCTCAGCAGTCAAAACAGAAATGATGCTATAAGACGAGCTGAGGCTTTGAGGCGTGTGTCGAGGAGTCAAGGGGGCATTTCCGTGAAGTATGTATCAAGGCTTGCTTCTTTTAGGGGTGGGGCCAAAATTGATAATGTCCAAAGCCTCTTCAACACCCTCATACCTCATGACTGCTTCGGGAAGTGGTTCAGCTGGCCCGCGAAACTCAACAGTGTCATGATTTTCTTAAGAGATCTGACCCACATGCAGTAAAACACTCAGAAAACCAGGGTAAAAGTTTGAACAGGTTTGTTGATGATACCAGCAGGGTTGGATTCAGGAAACACAGTAAACTGGTGAACCGGAACTGGAAGAGGGAAGGGAAGAATCAGTGGTTAGTTCAGGATCCGTGGGAACTTTGAACGATGACTTGGAGAGAAAGAGAAAAAGGGACTCATGTTAGTGGAGAACACATTCCTCCCAGAATCCAGTCAGTGTGGGTTTTTCCAGTGGTTGAGACTTGTTGGAGGGCGGATGGTATAGACTTAGTTAGACCCAGAGGAGCTATTGAGCGGACTGTCACTTGGGAATCCAGGAGGACTTGAACTAAACTTGTGGAGGTGTATCCCCTGCTCAGTGTGAGACTCAAAACAATCCTTCCAGGGGGAGAAGGCCAAACATCCAGCTTGCTGGAAGGCTTCCTGCCGAAAATGCAAAGACAAAAAGTAGGTTAGGCTCAGCGAAAAAACAAAGACTAAGTTAGACTCAGCAAAACTCAGCTTGGCTAGAGTACCCAAAACTGGCAAACACTATGGCGCTGAGGTAGTGACAGTCCATGGCTCAAATAGTCCTCAGTGATTAGTCAACCAGCCGCAGGTGTGTGAGAGGACCAACGAGGACAGGGCACCACCTGGTGGTGGAGAGAGAGAAGACACAAAAACACAACCCACACAACTAAACTTTTGAAAGTTCTCTACTTAACCAGTATTTTGGCCAATGTGACCTTTTTGCATTGGTTTGCCCTTTTACCCATATAGGTTATGTAAAAGCACTGCCAAATGAGATTGGTTGGTTTAACCAAAAGACACATAACCTCCCACAAGATTATAACCTGGAAAAATTATTGTTTTTTAATAAAAATGACTAACACCTTTCATTTTGCTCATCATTGCCCATCACTGTCACGGTCTGCATGAGTTTCTTTCACAAAAATTACAGAAAAACAGTGTACCTTAAAATGTTGTTCTGTTCTAAGACATTTACATGAACAAAAAACTTACAAAATATTTCATAATACACACCAAACATTAACAATTTCAACGAAACGTAAATGGGGAAAAAAAAGCTTATATTACTAACTGCAGTTATGCACTCCACCAGTAGGTGGTGACATTCCCATGAAGACTCGGAAAATGTGGGGATTGTCGAAGCAATTTGCCCAAAGGTTCAATGCCTCATGAGGCTTCTACTGAGTTCAAATTCATGGAATACGTCCTCTGAAGCCCAGAGTTGTAGGCTGATTACGTCACAGCGCAGCGCCAAGGTCTGTTTGGATTGCAAGACTCCTGGTTACGCAGTCGACGAATGCAGCATGCTTTTCACCCGTTTTGAAGGATGGATCCGGTGTATCCTACATAGCCTTGGATATCCAGTGATTCATTGCGAGACCAAGCAAGCTGGTTGCTCTGTGCTCAGAGGAAAAAGGTACTTGGTGCCCAACAGTGGTGAATATTGGAAGTGCAGTTTCTTCTAATACAAGTATGTGAATAGTTCCGTCTGAAACTAAGAAAAAATGTTGTTTTAAATGGTTATTGAGTCAGATATCTGCTGATTAATGTTTGGTTTATTGAAAAGTTTTTTATCTGTCGCTATGTAAATGGGTTTGGCTGTCATTTAAGGACAGATTCTGCTTTCCTTGAGTGTCAACTCTCACGATTGCCAAGCGACAGAGCGTACGGGGGTGAAAGCTGGGAAGGCTGGACATGTTTGAATCCACAGCCAAAACCAATGTGGCCTCATTATTTTCACAGACCTCAAAGGATCCAGTCCAGATAGACCGGCTCGTTGGAGGATGCAGCATTTTGAACACACCCTTCATCTCACCATCACAATAAAACTGGACTGAACACTATACGTCTCACCAACAGAGGCAGTAGCACCCTCTGGTGGCAGGAGGCTGCAGATAAAGCCGCCACATCAAAGCATTCTGAACCCGGTTCAGATTCTATGATTACCTCAGATGCTGCCTCACCTTCCACAGATAAACCAATCATATTTAGAGGGGTGCTAATTATTTTATATTTAAAAGAATCAATTTTATATGATTGATTGACTCCTGCTAAGATCAGGAGGGATGGAGGGTTCAGCAGAGCAACTGTATCAAAAAGAAATCTAGTATTATTCTTATTCTCTATTAATGAGGAGAAATATTCTGTTCTTGCTTTACAAAGGTAATATTTTACAGCATTAAATTATTTTAATTTTTTTTAGGCATGTAGAGCGCCATTTCCTCTGCTGTTTCCTAACATTTTGCTTCAGAATGCGCAGCTCTGCATTAAACCAGGAAGGAAGCTTTCTATTTTTCTTTTTTTTTTTCTTTTTCAAAGAGGCTGTGTTGTCTAAGGCAGAGAACCAGCAACCCCATCAACAAAACCATCAACCTGTGAAGGGGAATAAGCTAAACTTTTGCACTCTGCAGCACTGCTCAGCGACACAGAGGAGAAAGAAAGTCAAACAGATACTTTAGTACTGCATTACCTGATAATGATCTGTGAAAGTGAAATCTTCTTTTGGGGGAAGAGAACTCGTCTAAAGTAATCCTGAAGGTTATTAAAAAGTGGGGTTGTTTTCATTTATATAAAATTTGTATATTATAATTTATATCAATTGTTCTGTCATTTCTTGTCCCTCATATTTTATATATTATCCCTATGTGGAGGAACGTCTCCTATTTTAACACATTTCTCCAAAATCTAAAACATTTGATTTAAGTGAATAAAGCACGACACAAAGACTGAACAATATGGTTATGTAATGTAGAGCTGAAACGCTCAAATTACAGATTTCCTGGAAATAAAACTCCTCCTCTTACTGGGGACGGAAGCTGCAGTGCTGGCAGCAAGTTTTATGTTAGTCTGTTTTGCCACTGCTTCGTGTGGATTGGAGCCCTTCCAAGCAAGTTTATGGTATTTCAGACGTGGCCTTGGTCTAACTAAATATTAACCTGCCCTGGTCACTCCCCTTTAAGAGAACTGAAACTTAACAGACCTCTTGAACAACACTTTATTTGCTTCTGAGGAAACGAAACCTATCACACAGTAACTGTCCACCAGATGAAAAATGGCTCACCAAGGATATCAGATGGATTCTGTGAAATTCTCCTGTTCGATCTGCTTGGATCTCCTGAAATACCCGGTAACTATCCCCTGTGGACACAACTACTGCATGAACTGTATTGGAAACTTTTGGGATGGTGAAGAGAAAGAGAAAGGGATCTACAGCTGCCCTCAGTGTAGACAGAGGTTCACACCGAGGCCTGTTTTAAAGAAAAACACCATGTTAGCAGAGTTGGTGGAGGATCTGAAAAAGACTGGACTCCAGGCTCCTGCAGCTGATCACTGCTATGCTGGACCTGAAGATGTGGCCTGTGATGTCTGCACTGGGAGGAAGATGAAAGCTGTTAAGTCCTGCCTGGTTTGTTTAGTTTCTTATTGTGAGAATCACCTCCAGCCTCACTATGATGTCCCTGGATTGAAGAAGCACAAGCTGGTGGACCCCTCTAAGAATCTTCAGGAGAACATCTGCTCTCGTCATGATGAGGTGATGAAGATCTTCTGTCGTACTGATCAGCAGTGTATCTGTTATCTCTGCACCATGGATGAACATAAAGGCCATGAAACAGTCCCAGCTGCAGCAGAAAGGACTGAGAAGCAGAAGGAGCTCCAGGAGAGACGACAACAAATCCAGCAGAGAATCCAGGACCAGGAGAAAGATGTGAAGCTGCTTCAACAGGAGGTGGAGGCCATCAATGGCTCTGCTGATAAAACAGTGGAGGACAGTGAGAAGATCTTCACTGATCTGATCCATCAGATCCAGAAAAGAAGCTCTGATGTGAAGCAGCAGATCAGATCCCAGCAGGAAACTGAAGTGAGTCGAGTTAAGAAGATTCAGGAGAAGCTGGAGCAGGAGATCACTGAGCTGAAGAGGAAAGATGCTGAGCTGGAGAAGCTCTCAATCACAGAAGATCTGTACCAGTTTCTCCAGAACTACCCCACAGTGTCAGCACTCAGCGAGTCTACACACTCATCCAGCATCAATATTCGTCCTCTGAGATACTTTGAGGATGTGACAGCAGCTGTGTCAGAACTCAGAGAGAAACTACAAAACATCCTGAGAGACACATGGACAAACATCTCAGTGGCAATCACTAAAGTGGATGTTTTACTGTCAAAACCAGACCCATGCAGGATTATAGACCAGAAAATCAAAGATGAACTACTTAAATTAAATGGCAAGCTCCAAGATCAACTAAAGAACATGCAAACAACAGCCGCTGTAGCAGATTGTACACCATCATCATCAGAACGACAGACCAGAGATGGGCTCTTAAGGCATGCACGGAAAATCACTCTCAATCCAAACACCGCACACAAATATCTGGAACTATCTGAAGGCAACAGAAAAGTAACAATGACCAATGAAAACCAGCATTATCCAGAACATGACGATAGATTCACTAGGAGGTGGCAGGTCCTCAGTAAACAACGTCTGACTGGACGTATTTACTGGGAGGTGGAGTGGAGTGGGAGAGGCATTGAAATAGCAGTTGCATATGATGCAATAGAAAGAGAAGGGGACACAGATGAGAGTTCTTTTGGTCTGAATGAGAACTCTTGGGCATTGTGTTGCTGGCCAAATGAATATACATTTTATACTGATAATGTGGAGGAGGATATTGATGAATCAGTTCCTGTTTCCTCCACAGTGGGAGTGTACCTTGATTCCAAAGCAGGAATTCTGTCTTTCTACAGCGTCTTTGGGTCTAAAATGTTTCTCATCCACGAAGTTCAGACCCACTTTGATGAGCCTCTGTACGCTGGGATTTGGCTTTCACGCTCAGTAGGAACCACTGCAGAGTTCATTCAGTTAAAATAGAGCAACAAATCAAACAGAGTAGCCCAGTTTAAAGCTCTGGTTCATTTACACCTTAGTGATAACGCCTAGTTATCCTCAAAGTAACATGGTTCCAATGGAGAGTTAATTACATTGAAAACAGGAAGCATTTTTGCATAACAAGCTTCTTGATAACTTTTAAAGCAATAAATAATGTGAATTATTTCAATAATATCGCATAAAGAAAAAGGTTGAACTATTGATTCTACAATCTCAAACTACTTATATAGCATGCT